GCATAGCACCGATCGAAATTCATCATCAGCTGTGCTGGGTCTATGGGCCTAACGTCATGAGCAAGCAGATGGTGCGTCGCTGGTGCAGACAGTTTTCAGCAGGTCGACAAAGTGTGCATGATGAGAAGCGCAGTGGGCGGCCATCCATCATTACAGACGACCTGGTGGAGCTTGTGCAGGAACTCATTATGGAGAATCATCACGTCACAATTGCAGAACTCAGCAGTCATGTCCTGCAGATTTCCAGCTCCTTGTTACACGAAATTGTCACAGAGCACCTGTTGTTCAGGAAATTGTGCACCAGGTGGGTGCCAAAGCAACTGACACCAGAACACAAAACAATGCGCATGGAATCAGCATTGACCTTTTTGCAGCGGTACCATGATGACAGCGACGAGTTTCTGGACCGGATCATCACAGGTGATGAAACTGGATTGCACACATTACCCCAGAAACCAAGCAGCAGTCAATGCATTGGCGTCACAGTGGATCTCCCTGTAAGACGAAATTCAAGCAGATGTTGTAGGCGCGGAAAGTGATGTGCACGGTATTCTGGGACAGACAGGGCGTTCTCCACATCAACTTCCTGACCAGAGGTGATACGGTGAATGCTGAGCATTACTGTGAAACACTGCAGAAATTGCGACGGGTCATTCAGAACAAGCGGCGCGGGATGCTTAGTGCCGGTATTGTCTTCCTGCATGATAAAGCTAGGCTGCACACGGCTCAACGGACAGCAAGTCTCCTGCAGGAGTTCAGCTGGGAGGTGTTTAATCATCCACCCTACAGCCTGGACCTCGCTCCCAGTGATTTCCATCTTTTCCTACACATCAAGAAATCCCTGTCCGGTGAGCATCAGCGTTTTGAGAATGACAGAGAGGCGGAGATGGTTGTCACACAGTGGTTCCAATCCCAGGTGGCAGACTTCTATGACACAGGTATTCAAAAGTTGGTCCCACGGTATGACACATGTCTCAATTCCGGTGGCGATTATGTTGAAAAATAGCTGAACACTTGCTGTATATGTTGCAATAAATATTTCCATGAAATTGTGTTTTGTGTCTGTAAACGGCCCCAGGGAAACTTACTTTATGGACGAGCCTCGTAATTGCCTTGTATAACATGTTATGATCAGTTTGATTTGATTTGTTTGTTATGATCAAGGAAACACTGATCTCTGCATTATATTGGGGTGGAGTTCATTTTCAATTCTTCATGCTATGGAGAATTATTTTCTTAATATTCTTTGTCTAAAACACCTTTGGGGGTATGTCATACCTTGAATAGGTAATCTGATGGAAGAAAATTCTGTCATGTTCTGTGAGGTCCTCAGTATGGTGCGTTTGTTTCCCATTATATGTAGATAGTAGTATTTAGTAGATTTCTAATGATGACAGCAATCTGCATCATTAGCTGATGATACACACTCAGAGATATTATAAACAAAGAATGCCATCTATGTAAATGTGTGTGTGTCTGTGTCTGTGGTTCAGAAGACATTTTTTATTTCAGATCTTAGTATTTTTATGCTAGACGGGTGATCAGTAACTATGAATACAGTATCTTAAAACTTCATGTATTTTACTTGAAAATTTAAAGAAATAATATCAGTTATATTTCAAATTATGTAACAAGATTATTCATGCTTATTTTATAGAATACAGTTATACATTATGCGGCTCAGACTGGATGATCAAGATATTGGTATTATTATGGGTATTGCATCATTTTTAGTGTACATTCCTTACATTATGATAAAAGATAGGCTTATGTTATCATCCTATCCATGCGTCAGATCATCTGTACTTTTTCTGAATTAGGTAACACATTATAGCATATGGAAAGCCGTTACTAAGTCATGGCACAGTAAACAGCTTATCAGCATGACAATGATCATGCATGCAACAGAGGAACATATCATGTCTACAGTGACGTCACGCAACAATAGTAGAGCTGCGGGAAGCGGTGTTGCCATGCAGTCTGTCACCAGGCTGACAGTACTGCTGCAAGGGAACCCGTGATACCATGCCACCCACATCCACAGAGTAACAGTGTTTTTTGTTGGGTCTGCTCTGGGGCTACATCGATTGACTCTCAGTGGACCACACAGCATTATGTCCCAGACTATGGGACTCTTTATGCACTTGGGAGTCTGGAAAGGAGATTGCAGGTTAACACTAAGTAGGGAAGTAGGTGGAGAGAATGGGAGTTGGATGGAATGGGCTGAGGATTATGTCCAGTCTTTGTTAAAAAGTTTTTGAGAGTATGTCATATCTTGAGTAGTCAGCCTAATGGACTAAAAGTCCTGTGCGTTCATTGAAATGTCTGGTATGGTTATGTTAGTTCCAGTTATATGTTGAACATAGAATCTCGTAACTTTTCTAATGGTATAATGATGTACATTATCATCTGAAACTGATGCACACTCAGAGGTGTTTCAGACACAGTATATTAGCAGTATTAACCTTCATATTCTCCCATGAAAGTGTGTTCATCATGCAGTTAGTAAGTCAGTTATTTGGTTAGGTAGCCAGTTGATTGATTGGTTGGTTGATTAGTTGTGTGTTGTTTCTGAGTTTGTATTGTGGGTTCCAGAACATAAGGCAGATTACGATAGGGGTTGCTTTGGGGTAGGAAATTCTTAAATATTTTGAATGACTAATNTTAGAGCATGAATCCGGTTTCTTTATTGCCACACCTTGTATATTCTCTCCATATTTTATAATGAAGGTACAGCTATCCCTGTAACAGTCAGTGGAAGCCCATAGGGTTGTGAGACATCGATGCTCCCCGGATAGCATAGTCGGTATAGCAACTGGCTACAGGCTGGACGACTGAGGGGTCAGAGTCCCTGTAGGGTCCAGAATTTTCTCTCCTTCAAGTAGTCCAGACTGACTCTGTGGTCTACCCAATCTCCTATCCACTGGGTACTGGGGGATCTTTCCCCGGCGGGTAAAGCGGGCGGAGCGTGAAGTTGACCACTCATTTCCAGCTAGTGCCAAGGTCAAGAAAATGTTTATCTGTACATCCACTCTCCCATACACCTTTGTGGTGAAGGACTTATTAGTTAAGCACAGGAACAACTTTATCATTATCATATTGAGCCGTTTCCTCTGCTACCATTTGTGCCTTCTGTCTGCTCTGGTACTATATGTACCACTTTCACCGTCTTACAGTCTGCTACCACAGCACCATCACTCTCTGGCACCTTTCGGCTCCGTCTACCCTTCCTCAATCGGAGGGGGATACGTTGCTCCGTCATACGGCTCTCGTGCTGTGCTCGCACGCTCCCTAAGTTAGAGTAAGGGATCCAAGCTAGCAGCGTGGTAAATGTAGTTACAAATGATGGCAATCAATATATTAACAAATAACAGAATTTAATATACACAACAGAAATTAAACAGAACAACTGAACTAACTACACATTTACATGCTCGCACACAGCGGCATCTAACTCGGGCAGAATGACCCATATTTACTGGCGCAACAGTTTGCCTTGGTTGCATGAAAACATAACTACTACATTATAGCCGGGCCACAGGCTGAGTCTAAATTAAATACATAATATAAATTATAAAAACAGATTTAACCAAACTGGTACGAGTCGCCGCCGTCCTACAAACCCAACGACGGGCGACCGCGGGCGATCTCGTCGGCCGCGAACCAGCCCAGTACTTGCCGAAACCAAATTTGGACTCCCAGCCGAACAGGAATTTGACAGTCGCTCCGGCTGGCTCGGCGCCGCGAGCAAGGCCCTATGGATCCATAACCAGAACTGAACTCCGAACTCGAATTAACTTCCAAGCAAGGCTCCCAGGAGTAGAAAGGAGGGGAGAGGGCAATACCACGTGACCCAGTCCCGCATGGGGATGGGATGGGGGATAAGTTTAAGAACCTCAATCAAGGGGCTGGAAGCCCATGACGTCATACCGGAGCCACTGCATGGCTCAATATTTTGTAATTACAATACCACAGTTTTTGCCTTTCCATCATGAAGATATATGGAGGAATGGATATAAAGATCCACGCATTCTTTACCTTGGCACTAGATCGAAATGAATGGTCAGCACTATACCCTGGCTGCTTTACCCCTGGGGGAAGAGCCTCTGGTACCCATTGGTAGGAGGCTGGATGGGCCCCAGGGCCAGTCTGGATGACATTGAGAGGAGGAAAATCTTGTCCTTACTGTAATTTGAGCTCTGACCCCTTGGTTGTGAAGCCCATAGCCAGCTGGTGTACTGGCTGTGCTATCCTGGCTCTGTAGGTAGAAGAACAATATTAAAATTGATTTTAAACAAATAAGTGGGAGGGTGTGGATTTAGTTCATTTGGAGCAGAATAGGAACCAATGGCTGGTTCTTGTAAACCTTCAGTTTGCATAAGAGGCAGAGAATTTCTTGGCAATGAGGTCTGATCCATGGAGTCAGCAAGTCAGTTAATAAATATGATTCTTTGATTATTATTAATTTATATGGAAATTTTAAGATTTTCATGGCAGTTATTGTATTGTGGCCTTCCGGTTGTGACACAATGCAGTCTTGTAGGCAGATACTGATATTTCAGAGGAACATGCCCCTCCCTTGGTTCTTAGTGACCACCTTCTTTGCAGCCTGCATATATAATAGAATCAGTTCCTCAACCTACACATTTCAGTCCTGAAGAAGGAGGCAGGATGTCCTTCCAAAACGTTCATACCCACCTACAAGACTGCATTGTGTCAGAACCCAGGAGATCACAATCTTGAGTATTATTATTTTATTTTATAATATATATGTTGTAGTAAACTGTACATGACTGATTTAAAAACCAGTGTCCTTTAGAAATAGATGCAATAGAAGTAGTTAATTTTTATTTGTGATTTTTGTCATGCAAGTCAAAGACAGTGGGTAATAAATCAGTCACAATTAATTATAATAAATGGCTTATTTCAACCACTGTCTTATATGTTAATTTTTTATTTTTTGTATACTGTGCATAATTGTGCAATTTTTCTCTTTTCAGGCGACAATTTAGGGTGCTTTGGTGCAAGTAAAAAGAAGAAAGAGACACAGCCTGTTCAGCAGAAAGAAGCAGCTAGCACCAGTCGAAGCACCACCCAAAGAACAGAACCTGTCAAAGGGATGGAGCTTCTGTGGCAACCTGAGGTATGAGATCTCGCATCAGTAGCAGAAGTAATCATAGTTGCTGTTAACTGATCAAAATAATAATGTGTCTTTCTTGCAGTTTAATTTTGTTTACAATTGAACATCCTTTAAATTATACACACTCCGTCCCAAGTGCAAACAATATATATTATATGTCTTTGATCTTGTTCTCTTCTACACTACATGTTTCGGCCTCTATCGGCCATCATCAGGTGTATACTCTTAACGTTGCTGCCACACTGAAACCCAGTCTAAAATTTAACATTTAAAAAACACATTGTTATTTTTTTTCTGTTTTATCAACATCTACCTCGTTGATATGTGTCTGGTTTGTAGATTATATTGCACACGTCAAATTTTCCTGTAGTAGCACTATAAAACCTTTAGTTATGATTTTAAAATCCTTTAAAATTTTCTCTAAATTTTAAATTTAGAATTTAAAATTTAGAGAACATTTTAAAGGATTTTAAAATCATAACTAAAGGTTTTATAAATTTAGAATTTAAAATTTAGAGAAAATTTTAAAGGATTTTAAAATCATAACTAAAGGTTTTATAGTGCTACTACAGGAAAATTTGACGTGTGCAATATAATCTACATACCAGAAACATATCAACGAGGTAGATGTTGATAATACGGAAAAAAAAATAACAATGTGTTTTTTAAACGTTAAATTTTAGACTGGGTTTCAGTGTGGCAGCAACGTTAAGAGTATACACCTGATGATGGCCGATAGAGGCCGAAACATGTAGTGTAGAAGAGAACAAGATCAAAGACATATAATATATATTGTTTGCACTTGGGATGGAGTGTGTATCATTTATCGTGTAGAGTGCAACAGGATGCTGAGATATAATATCCTTTAAATTAAAACTTCAAGAAGGTTATTGGTTGCGAATATTCTCAATATTCTGAGTTAATTATATAATCACGATTGATCTGATCTGATAATAAGCTCTTATTGAATTGTTGGAAAGCTTTTTGATGCTGAGTTTTTATTTATAAGTTTAAATAATTAAAACTACTGTGACAGGATATTGAGGATTGCTGGAACCATTGAAATATTGAAAAGACCCCCGTTACTAGGTGCCAGCAAGAAAAATCCATTCTGGCCACAACAGTCAAGGTCCTGTTGAGAATGATGTCAATTAGGTGGTCTGTTATGAGGCTGTATAAGAAAACACACCAAGTGAGTGAGAGTTCTAACACTTCTAGTCAGCCTTCCACCAGGGTGCAACAAGGAACTAAGAAGAAGAGGATGCCAGATGAAGACTTTAGGAAGAAAAGGATGGAGAGCAGGAGATGGCAAGCACTTCACTACATCCCTTTCCTGAACATCACTGTTTACAGAAGATGGGATGACTCCTTGGATCTTATACAGAAAAATGACCCATAGTAGTTTGTATTTGAATGCTTAGTCACACCACCATCCAGCAAACAAGTAGGCTGTGCCCTCCAACTTGGCATACAAAGCCAAAAGCATTTGTAACCAGGAGAGACTTCATGCTGAATTGGACCTGACTTAGAAGATTTTCATGAAAATGATGACAGCATGAAATAGGTTTGTTATGCCGTTACACCTTAGGAGCAAGTCAGAACATGGAGGACCCCATAATGGTGACCTTTATGTGCTTCTTCCAAATATCTTAACTTCATCAGCTGAGTGCTATCCAAGGATAAGATCGAGACAGTAGACATCTCAGCATCCCACCAAGGAAAGTCTTTAGTTTCCTTTATCTCTTGAAGGATGACCCAGGCCAGAAAATAATGGGCATATATAGCATCCCCTGTGAATGTGGAAATGTGTATCTTAGACAGACTGGTTGTTCCATCAGGATCATGATTAATGAACATGACTGTCATGTCGGACTGTATCAACTGGAGAAGTCAGTCATGGCAGAACACGCCATCAGCCTAGGTCTTCATATTATGCTCAGTGACACCAGTATCCTGGCTAAGAAATCCAGGTTAAGGGACCAGTTTATGGGGGAAGTGATAGGAATTGAGCTCCATGCTAATGAAATGAAGAGGGAGGATGGGCTCTCCCATAATAGGTTTTGGAAGGTTGCTGTTTACACCATAGTATGTATTTATTCACTATGAGATAACCTTAGACATAAGATGACCCTCTTACACAGTGGAGAATTTTTGGGAACTGTAATGTTATTAGTTATTTAGGTAAAATTCTCAGGTGGAAGTTACTATTATGAACGTAACTTCTTTTTCTTTGTATTCATTATCACTTTCAGGGTCACAGAATGTTTTTCTGGTAGAACTTGGACCTAATAACTTTCCTCCATCCCAGCTCATTGGCCCCCGGGATATTGTAAAATTTGTTGTAAAATGTTCATTCAGTGTGTCTTACAACCTAATTTAAAGTTGACATCATATGTGCCTCACGTGAATGAAAGAATCTATATATCAGAAATGTCTTGCTTCCACATGGTCTTCCGTGTTCACATCATGTGATTTATTGTACTTCTGTTTACTGAGTGTATTTATTATGAATGAGGATATTTTGTCAGTTGCATTTAAATGTTCATTTAGCACTAATATTGTATTTTGTCACACAGAGTTTGGATTGATAATTGGATTTATTGAATGCCTAAAACTCGTAACTACAAATAATTATAACAGTCTCACTTATTACATGCTCTATAGTTTACTAACTACAACACACATAAAGTCTTCTGTTTATACACTAGTAGCTAGGTAGTAGCTCCTAACAGTGCAACTCAAGACTGGACTGCTGCTGAGTCCTTGTTATATGGGCTTAGTGCAGACCAAATAGAAAACAGTGCTTCCAGCAGTTCTCTGTTGTGTGCTTACTCATTGCTGCAGGAATGTGTTTACCATGCCACTGCCCAGCAACAGCTGCTTTTTTTCGTTCCTCTGTTTTTGGCTTTCTGCTGTCATGTCACAGTATCAAGTCAATTTTTTTTTGCAGTGAGCATGAAGGATCACAGTGCATCTGCAAACTAAGCCACATTTGATATATATTATAATTCAGAATATTTCTGCTTCAGGCATGATTCTCTTTAGCTGAATGACAGTGAAGACTGATATATGGGTGCATGTTTTGTGGATGTTGTGTCATTAAGCAGTGTACCTCAGAAACGGCCACAGCTCCAGGGTACACGGTTTATAAAGTTGTGTGCCAGTATTACAGTAATGTTGATGAAACTCGAGATGCTTTTTAAAATATTTTAATGTTAACAGAATACTGTATGGATTAGTTTTCCTTGTACTGATGCCCTGAGAATTTTGTCAGAATAAGTAATGATTACATTCTTATAATGTATGAAGGTCAGTGGGGCTCTTTTGTAAGTAGTGCAGAACTTTGAATACATGTATGTACAAAAAACCTTGGTAATGACCATAAAAAGCCATCAGTGAACAAGTACAGTATGAACAGCACTTTGATAAGACAAGGTCTTCGGCAGATGAGGGAGGGTTTTGAGGCATGTGTGGAATAATGAAAATTATACTGTGCACCACTGTAAAATATTGTGTTGTATGCAAGGAAACGGTTATATAAGAGTGTATTATGAGTTCTTCTATGGGAAATCTAGTGTTGCTGCTGCTTTCCGTTGTTTGTCAGATTGTTGATTTCATACTTTGATGTTATAGGTTGTACAGTCGTATCTTTCTCTGCTGCAAAGTTGCTCGAATCCTGAAACTTTAGAAGCAGCTGCAGGAGCCCTACAAAACCTGGCAGCCTGCTATTGGCAACCAAGTATTGAAATCCGGGCAGCTGTCCGCAAAGAAAAGGGGCTTCCAATCCTTGTTGAATTGTTACGGATGGAAGTGGACCGTGTTGTCTGTGCAGTGGCCACAGCCTTGAGGAATCTAGCCATTGATCAGCGCAACAAAGAACTCATTGGTATTTTTATGAAAGTTGTTTACTTGACAGTAGAAGTTTTAAAGTGGTATCTGTAGTTGCTATTTAGTAGAATCACTTTTACCATCACAAAAAACCCTGTGTTATAATTTGCTTACGAGAAAAGTAAAGTAAAGCTATCCCTGTAACAGGCCGTGGAGGCCCATAGCGTTGTGAGATGTTGAGGTTCCCACATTTTCTAGACAATCGGCTCACAGATGGTGGTAAGGTTGTCAGCCTTACATGCCAGCTGCCCTTTACCCCCAAGAATATTCCTGGTACTCATTTCTGTTAGAGGCTGAGTCAACCTCAGGGCCATAGTGCAGCTGGAAGAATTAGGTAAATTGAAAAAATCCACTTCATCGGGATTTGATTCCATGACCTTCTGGCTTGTAGCGTAGTACCTCAACCAACTATGCTACCATGTGCCCCCAGAAGTAGAGAAAGTAATACTCGTGTTGGTACTCGTGAATATTTTGCATATTTATTAAGCTTTCACACACAGTGGAGGTGCAGTGTAACAAGTGTGGCTTATTACAGGAACATAATCATACCCAGGAAAATTAAAAAATAAACCAGAACTTTCAGTATGTTAATGCTATGTATATGGAAAAATCTTATAAAATGAGAGCATTTTTTTCCACAGAACTTTTGTCGTAATAAGTCATAACAAGGGATTTCTAACCAACCACAACTTTACTGCATGACTTTTTGCATAAGTTGTAGTTTAAGTTTTTCTTCCCAAACTATTTATAGCTGGTGCTCTATATGGTATTGTTAAACATACCTGGCTCTCTCCCTTGTTCAGAACAGAAAAGAACATATTCCCAACTCTGAGAACTGTATGTCTGAACAAGGATTTTTTCCTGCCCTGAGGCAGAAGTGCATAGCATGCAGAGCCATTGTAATTTGCTGTAGAAAAAAATCTGCCAACTGTCACAATTAAGAGAATATAAAAACATGATAAAATCTTCACAGTTCAGGGTGTGCCAAAGATGTTGAGAGAGTTGAATTATTTTCCATTACTTTTGTGTCAATGTTAACCACTTCAAACAACTTAAGAAGTGAAGAAAGTTGTCTTCTGGGTTTAGGCACCG